CGCGGGGAGGGCCCCCGCGCGCCCGCTGAGCGTGCCCCCCTGCCCTGCCGCCCCCCACAGGCGGGGACGGCCCGGGGGCCGAGGAGCAGACGGCGGTGGCCATCGCCAGCGTCCAGCAGGCGGCGTTCGGCGACCACAACATCCAGTACCAGTTCCGCACAGAGAATAATGGAGGCCAGGTGAGGCGGCCGCGGCCCGGGGCGAGCCCCCCGCGGGCCGGCGCCGGCGCGAGCCGAGGGAGGGCGGACGCGTGCGGCGGGACGGGCAGAGCCCCGACCTGGCCCCCCGCTCGGGCCCCAGCGTCGCTCTCGTCGCTCTGCCGCCCCCTGCAGGTGACATACCGCGTAGTCCAGGTGACTGACGGTCAGCTGGACGGCCAGGGCGACGCGGCCGGCGCCGTCAGCGTCGTGTCCACCGCTGCCTTCGCGGGGGGGCAGCAGGCTGTGACCCAGGTGGGTGTGGACGGGGCAGCCCAGCGCCCCGGCCCGGCCGCTGCCTCTGTACCCCCAGGGCCCGCAGCACCCTTCCCGCTGGTAGGTGGCCGGCAACTTACGGGGAGGGGCCGGGGAGGGAGAAGGCCCAGGGGGTGGAGTACGTGACCCAGAAGGTGACCCCTGGGCCATTAGGCTGTCTTCGGGTCAGATTGAAGCTTCGCACAGTCATTGGACAGGTTTCCTGGAACTTTTTTTTTTTTTTTTCTGTAAAACAGAAAAAAAATTTCCCAGAGAGGAAAGTAGAGCAAATGATAGTCGAGTCCCGTCAGAGCTGAGACACTAGACAGAATGCTGTACACGCGGGCTTCCCCCTCGCCTCGCAGTGTAGCAAATAAACACGACGCTAGCAGCAGAGGTGGGCTGGCGGGGGTGGCTGAGGGTGGCCCATGTGTCCTCCTCCCTAGGCTGTAATTCAAAATCCATTCAGCAATGGTGGCAGCCCGGCCTCGGAAGCTGTCAGCGGGGAGGCACGGTTTGCCTATTTCCCAGCGTCCAGCGTGGGCGATACCACGGCTGTGTCTGTTCAGACAACAGACCAGAGCCTACAGGCTGGAGGTAAGGGGTGGAAGGGATGCCAAAAGCTGGTCCATCTTGACAACCCCCCCCCCCCCGGGCGTGCACACACACACACACACTGATGCTCGCTGCACATTTCCTGCAGGCCAGTTCTATGTCATGATGACACCCCAGGATGTGCTTCAGACAGGGACACAGAGGACAATTGCACCCCGGACGCACCCCTATTCTCCGTATGTGTCCCATTGCTGACTGCCGAGGGAAGGGAGGGTTTCCTGGCCTGGTAGCTGGCCTGGTCAGTATACAGAAGGCATGGGGTATGGGTTTTGTTAGCTTTTGCTTCTGGAATAGCAGTAAAAGGAAAGTTCCATTTCTTCTCGTTTTACGTGGTTTTACTTTGCAAAGATGACAGTCGGGCTGGAGAGGTAGCTTGGGTCGAGCACTTGCCTGGCATTTTACAGAGCCCTGGCTTCAGTCCCTGGTACCATAAAAACAAAGGTATTTGTCAAGTCTGGTAGCTTGGTAGATGCTTGAAGAGCTGGGTCTGAGCTAATAGGTTGTCTGTATTTCTCCTTCTATTCTAGAAAAATCGATGGCACCAGAACTCCTCGAGATGAGAGAAGAAGAGCTCAGCACAATGAAGGTGAGGGTGGTGGCGTACTCTTGGGTGCTTTGAGCCCATTGCCTGCACCTTCAGATGTGGGAGAGGTCAGTGCTGATGGGCGAAGGACGGCAAGTTGTTAGAAAGACGGAGGGCCTGAACTGGGTTCAGCCAGCTGTTTTGTCAGTTTGCTTTGATCTGTTGGCCAGCCACTTAAAATGGCGGACCCCAAATCTTCAGGTGGGTGTTGCCCTCGGTAGCATGCTCTTTGTCCTCCCTCCATCTGTGTGTAGCCCGTTTGAAAATGAAGTATCACCTCTGGCCAGCTGAAACCAGAGCCTCCCGCCCTTCCCGGAAGCCACATGCTACACCCTGAGGTCTTTTGTCCTGTACTGTTCCGTGGTCTCCCAGCCTTGATTGGTCACTGCAAAACACATAACAGCCCTAGAGGCAAGGCAGTTCTGACACCCAAACAGTCATCCCTCAACAAATATTTACTGACCCTGGATCCCGGGCAGGGCAGGGCAGGGCAGCACAGGGCCTGTGCCAAGTCTGTGGCCTGTCCGAGAGTCTAGTCAGTTAGAATTGCTAAGGAAGGACAGCCTGTAGCTGAGGGATTGCTAAGGCATTAAAGTTGTCCCAGGAAGATTTTTGGGGAGTGTGGCAAGTCTAGGGGGACACAGGTTGAGGAAGGTCAGGTTGTTTCAGGGGTGCTGTTTGCTTATCGCTGGAGTTCTGTGTACGTTAAGAATGAGCCAGGGTGAAGGCCTCCGGTGTCCATGCAAGGCCCTAAGACTTGAGGGTGCTTTGATGTGAGAGGGGTGGGGGCACTGCTGTTCTAAGTGGCTGGCGAGTTCAGGATTTTTGCCGTCGAGTACATGCCCATGCCGGCCCCATTGAGGCCTCAACACAGATAACAACAGAGACGGTCTGGGCTCTCGCGCCACTTGCTTGTGGAAGACTAGCTGCACACGGTTGGCGTGTGCGCCTAGCATGCCAGAGCACTGGACGAGAGGAAGCTGAGTGAGTGGGGCAGACTTGTGGACACATGCTTCAGAGGCCTCTCTTGGGCACCTGGGAAGAGCCCTGACAGCCACAGACATTTTTTAGCTTGAGGAAGAGCAGAATGGGGAAGGGAAAGAGGAAGGGCTTAGGGCTGAGTGGGGAACCTGCCAGGCCGGCTCAAACAGGGTGTCTAGAAGCTCTTCCCAGAGTGGTTTTCCTGCCCCTGAGGGAGTAGTCTGATCATGGGGAAGCCATTGTGGGATCTCTGTGGAAGGTAAATGATAAGATGATGGCAATCCAAAGAAGTCATGTGTTATCGATGGCGTCTGAGAAATGGGGGGTAGGGTGTGTGTCTGAGGTTGCAGGACAAAAAGGATGGGCGTAAGGAGAAGATTCTGGAGTGGCTAGGTTGAGCCTAGTGCCTGGGTCAGTGGCTTTAAGGGAGAAGGGTGAACTGGGGCTCAAGGCTGGTTTGGAGGTGATGTGGAGAACCTGAGGGTCCTCCACTGAGTGGCTCAGGCTGTCACAGCTCCTACCCAACTCAGGCTTGGTCTGCGGTCTTGGCACCTGACACAACCCTCAGTGCTCACAAGCCCCAGCCTTGGCTCCAGCCACCTGAGGAGCGTGCCACGGGCTGTGGGACAGGAGAGGATGGCTCCCTAAGCCTTGCCCTGACTTCATCCAGCTTGGATCCTTCCGGATCCTTTGTTGTTTTTGTTCTCCACCATGCATTTTCCATAACCTGCCCCTCCCCAGCAGCTACAGCCAGCCCTCTGGCTTCTGACTGTAGATTTGAACCACCATCTGCCTGTCCTTGTAGCCTGGCAGTCTGGCCTACCAGACTGGCTTCACTGAAGGTCACCTGTGACCGCCTCATTGCCAAACCTGCTGGCTTCCTTTTTTGTCTGAGCTCCAAGCTTCTGACCCAGCCTGTTAACGCCACGTCTACCTCCACCACTTGGGGGACGTTCCTTCTTCTCCTCTCGTATTCTTCTGCCTTCTTTTGTTTCTGCCTCCTGGTCTATTCCTACAACTCTGGAGGCTGAACCCTGGGGCTTCTGAACAGCTGGCAGGCAGGAGTGGGAAGCAGCTTTGGTGCGTGTTCCTTAAGCCTGGGCCTGAGTCTCTTCCGAGTGCCAGTAAACACCCGCTAGAGGTGCCCCGAGCTCCAGTTGCCATACTCCTAAGACTTGTGCTCAGCACAGGGTCTCTTTTTCTCCCGAAGGCTGCTAGTTGCCTCTTCCCAGCCTCCTAGGCTCGGCCCACCGCACAGGATGCAGTTTCTCCTCCGTGGGCATTGGAAATTGGCACCCAAAGTCTCCGTGTATGGCCGTCCATGAGACTGCTACCCAGCTTGCCCTTGCAGAACACACTGTCTACCCTCCCGAGGACCCTGTAGATGTCTCCCTGCCAGAACCGAGGCAGAGCGGCCCTCAGTGCTCGCCTTCCTGCACTGTGCACCAGCC